GGCTCTGATTCTGGGGACAAAGTGTGTTCTTGGCACTAGTCCCAGAGTCAGGGTGAGTTTCTGTGGTTCTTGGCTCAGAGATAAAGTGTTTCTTTCATTGGCTCATAAATTAATGCAAATGCTGACTGGAAAAGGGGTCATTTTGGGGTCAGGTAGAAACCTGGTGCAAGGGAAACTCCAAGGAATCTAAACGGTTGACTCCAGCTAAGACTCCTAGACATTTCAGATCTGAAGCCTGAACTGGTCATCTCTTGTAACCAGGCAAGACTTCTACTGGAGGGATTGGGACACCAACCTAGCCATATAACCTTCAACCTATAGTCTATCCGCCTATGGGAAGTGCTGGGGTAGTTCAGAGATTGTGAGAGTGGCCAACGAATGACTGTTCCAGCCTGAGACTCATGCTACAAGAGTGAGCCCACACCTGACACTGCCTGGAGCACCAGGATCTAGAGGCTGAATGGCAGGGAGACCTAGGATAGAACCAAACATGACTGGAGAAAAAAATAACAATGTAATAATGCCTAATGATATTCTGCTATGATATTAAAACCAGACATAGACACAGCAGTAAAACTATAGGCCAATTTCCAGATTAACACAGATGGCTATATTTAACAAAATCCTTGTAAACCAAAGGGTTTTGGCAGTACATTAAAAAGATCATAAGTGATCAAATTGCTTTGATCATTTAATTCTATGATAGAAGGATCTTTCAGCATACAAAACTCAGTAAATGTTAAAAAAGGATATAAACAGAATCAAGGGCAAAAAACACGAAGATCTCAAGTACACAGAAATCCTTTGGAAAGTTCAGTGTTGATCAAGATAAAAGTCTGGAGGCAATGTGGTACGCAGAAGCAGGTGGGTCTCTGAGAATTCCAGGCCAGCCAGGGCTCCAGAGTGGGACTCTTCCCCACCCTCCCCCCAAAAAAGTCCCAAGGAAATAATGACTGAGAAGATCAGCTTTCAACCTAACGAAGCTTAAGTATGAAAAACCTACAGCCAGCACTATATTGAATGGAGAAAGCCTTATTATTATTTTTTTTTTAAAATGAGGAGTGATACAAAAGTATCCACTGTCTCCTGTGTTAGAGAATTAATTTAAATCGGGGTGGTGGTTGCGGCACACACCTTTCATCCTAGCATTCACACCGCAATTGAAAACTCAGGAGGCAGACAGATGGATCTCTGTGAGTTTGAGGCCATTCTGGTCTATAGAGTGAGTTCCAGGACAGGCTCCAAAGCTACAGAGAAACCCTGTCTCCAAAGGCCAAAACAAAACAACAAACCCCAACAAAACAAAAAGACGTCTACAACGTTTAAAACTTGGGAACAAGGTGATATCTTGCCTAGTATACATATGGCAATTGAAAACTCTATTATTAGCTAGGCATGGTGGAACAGGCTGAAATCCCAGCACTTGGGAACCAGAGGCAGAAGTCTCAGAAGTTCAAGGCCAGCAGCTGAGGTGACCTGCACAGCACTTAAACAAGATCAAGTCCGTCCAGATATCCGCAGAGATAGGGTAGACGTTTCCGAGGTCCCAGCCCTGATTGTGGACCTCCTGAGAATGGACAGTTACAGGTTTCTAAATCAGCGCCTCCAGTCCAGGGTTACTAAGAATTGCCTCAGAAGAGACGCTACTATTCCAACGCCAAACCCTAAGTGTCTGGGGCTCCGCGGAAGGCCCTGGAAATTTAGTGACTTATTGTCAGGCTAAACAAAGGCATGAAGGGACAAGCTGGTGTCTTAGCATGTTTTTCTTGCATCTAAAATCTCCCCGGAGCTCGGCTGCTCTGAGAAGAACGGAAGACGGCAGCGCGGCTCCTTCAGGCACCCTGCAGCCTCTCAGTCCGGCGGGAAAGGAAGGGTACCGGAGTCCGGGAGTCTGGAGCAGAAGGACCGAGAGCCTCTCCCACAGCCCTGCCCACCCGGCTCGCACACTCGCAGCTCGTGGTGTCTGCACCCCGCGGCTCCTGCGGACTCACAGAGGCTCAGGGCCCAGCACGGGCAACCCTGGACAGCCGTGCCAGGAAGAAAGATGGCGGGCGAGGCCCTTCTGCCCCACCCCCTAGTGCTCCGGATTGGACAGTTCCGACGGCACCAGGGCCCTGAGAAGCAACACAACTAAAATAAAGCCCTAGAATGAATCACTAGGAAGGATGTAACTTAGAGGCCATCTCAGCTGTAAGGAAGGGCGCAGTGAAACACTGAACTAGGCCGATGCATTGGTGCATTTATTGCAAATATGAAACTGCAGGGGGCTATCTGTCGGGTGGTAGAGAGAGAATGATGGCCAGAAGCATTTGCAGAAGTCATAAGCTGCCGGGTTACCTCTTGGGAGCAGAGAGGATAGCAAAAATGCTGGGGAAATCCTGGCTATAAAAAGTAGCTGTAGCTAGGCCATGGTGGCACAGACCTTTAATCCCAGCACTCAGGAGGCAGAGACAGGCCAGTCTCTGAGAGTTCGAGGCCAGTCTGGTCTACAGAGTGAGTTTCAAGCCAGCCTCCAAAGCTACAGAGAAACTCTGTCTCAAAAAGACCAACCAACCAACCAGCCAACCAGCCAGCCAGCCAGCCAGCCAGCCAAAACAGACGAGTTGTAGGCAGAGAGGTGTGCAAGCTAAACAGGGTGGAAGTTTAGGGGTGAGAAGGGCTAAGGATGGTAGCCTAGCTGCGGGAAACCAGTCTGAGCCAGCAGTCTTGAGTTCAGCTTGAGCTGAACCCAGACTGTCATTTAGGATACTGTAAGTGGCAATGGCATTTTGGGGGGTTTGGGACCTTATAATGGCACATTGTCCCTACTTCCCAATGTAGAAATTTCTGTCCTTCCTAAGAAAAGCCTCACTGGCTACACTTCATGGTTTCTCCCTAAGCAGGCTGTCAAATTCATAAACTCCAGGAGACTGACTACCTAGGGGGCCTCTCTAAACCTCATTTTCAGTTTGTTTCCCCTCATTTCCTAAGATTGAAGTCAGGTTCCTGATCATGCTAATTAGGGACACCATGGTTGAGCTATACATGAAGCCCACAGACTCCATTAATCTACTGAAGGTAAAGAGTGACTCCAGCAATTCCACCTATTGCAAAATCTAAAGGTGCTTCAGAAAAGTTGGCCTGTAGCTAGGGTGACCGCCTAAGAGAAGACAAACTCAGATGTGGCGCTGTTTTCTGGTGCTCCATAGCTTTCACTGTCAGCATTTCTGAGTGTTTTGAGCAGGTGGAGGCCACGTGCAAGGGAGGACAGCTGCCCAGAACCCTCTAAAAGGAACTCCATTGCTCTCCCTTGCAGTCTTTTCGAGACAGGATTTCTCTTGTGACTTTGGAGCCTATCCTGGAACTAGCTCTTGTATACCAGGCTGGTCTCAAACTCACAGAGATCTGCCTGCCTCTGCCTCCCCGAGTGCTGGGATTAAAGGTGTGTACCACCACTGCCCAGCAAATGTTTTCTTTAAGAGTTGCTTTGATCATGGTGTCTCTTCACGGCAATAGAACAATGACAAAGACAGTTACATGTCACTGCAAGATCCCATGACTTCTGTGGTCATCATGCCTTCCTAATATTAATGAAGTGAGATCATAAGTTAGGAACAACCCTCCCTCCCCCCCACAAGTTGTTCTGCCATCTGTTTTATCACAGCAATACAAAAGTAACTAATATAAATGCCAGGAGATTTAAGCAGCATTTGCACACATTTGAATTGAGGCAAGGATGATCTCATGTTGGTCTTCATCATATGAAGATGCCGGAGATAAAATACACTAGTAGAAAATATCTTCACTTTTCAAAAGGATGAGCTGAATCTGAAGTTGAGTTATTCAAGTATAGTTTCTGCTGATGCTAGGTGGGTAGTAGCAAGTGTCACAGCAAGCCACCACCTGTTAGAACCCACACAGTCTACAGTAGTTGGTGAA